GTCACATAGCCTCAAACTCAGTTTTTCATGAGAGGACAAAACATACAGAGGTGCACTTACATTTTTCTCAAGACAAATATATATACCTTTCATGTGTGCAGTTCTTCTTTGACTGCTTTTGTGCTCCGTCTTTTGCGTCTGGACTTAAATTTCCAATAGATACCATGCATTTTCTTTGATCTTGTTTTATGGACCACAAGTTTGATGTGCGACGTCATAATTTCAGGTTCAGAAAGAGATATCTCCAGTAGTCCTGTCTGTCGTCTCGTGCTTAGTACCAATCCTTCAACATGCTGAGGTAATTATCTGTTTTATATCTAAGATTGAAATATTTTATGATTGTTATGCCAGTAGGACATATAGAGAACTTCTAGTATTTTTCGTTTTTATTTTTCATGTTTGTTTTGTATGATTTTGGCCTGGGATGAATTTAAATGTGGAGCATGGTTTGTGAGTATTCATATGGCCAGTCCCAGCTTGTTTGGGGTTGAGGTGTAGATATTGTTGTTGTTTGTTTGGTTAATTCTGTTGTTTGTATATGCATACCTGCATGTATGTTGTGGCCAAGTTTGTGTTTTGTTTTGTCTTGCTCATTTTATATTTGATTCTGAAAAGGGTCTCAACAAGTCACTGATAGAAAACAGTGCAATCACCCTTGGAAGACTTGCATGGGTTTGTCCGGAGCTTGTGTCACCGCATATGGAGCATTTTATGCAAGCATGGTGCTTTGCCCTGTCTATGTAAGTTTACTCCAATTGCAATTGTTCCATTCGTTTGTGACTGGCGGTTTGCATCGTACAAGAATGAACTGTTAGTTTTTTGCATTAAACATAGAGAATTGCAGTCAAGCTGGCCAAATATGTCTAACGAATGTTAGACTGGCTTACTCCATTTACTTAAACAAATGTCACTTAACATACCTCCATCCGAGCATGGTAATACTGTTTAACTGAAGTTGGGTAGCTAAATCCTAAAAGACCTGCTTTAGAATTTTTTTGCTTTAACTTGCTGAACACCAAAGTGAAATTATTTTATTGACTGATAGTGCATGGTAAAATGTAAGAACGTTTTGTTTGAAGCCATGGTATGTGTTTGTGTTTTTTGTTCTTACGTAATGGGAGTGGATGCATATGCGTGAGGTCGTAGAGCAGATGGTTGAATGTAAGTAGTTTCTGTAGTGTTGTTTTTCTTTAAGTTCATCATGTTTTGGGAGGTGGAAAAAACGAAAAAGGTGATAAAAACTTTGGCTACCCATTTTTCCTTTGCCGCAGTACAGCACTAGTTAGTCAAGCTTGCCTGAGAAGAAAACCCCCATTTCACAATGTGAAGCTAGCGAACTTGTCTTTTCCTTTTCCAATTCATGGAAATGAATGTGATGAAGATCTCTGATTGGTAACCCGCACATTCCTGATCTCCTCCGCACCTATCATTGTTGTTGTGTTAGTTCTGGGGTGTTCACGTCAAGTATTGGTGTTTGAGCTGTGTTCAGCACTATTATAGTGCACAAAATGCCTTGTTGATGACCGACAACTTGCGCTCTTTTTTTTTCTGGCAGGATACGTGATGATATTGAGAAGGAGGATGCCTTTCGTGGTTTATGTGCAATGGTAGTTTTGTCTTTTAATATTGCCTCTTTAGTTCAGATCACAATGACTGAATACTGCTAAATTCTTATGAATATCCTATTATTGACAGCTTTTGATTTCTTCCTTTTTAAGCCTGAAAATCTTTATAGCCCAACCTCAAGCACTGAACTGGTTTGACAAGACTAAATTCTGAATGCCATAAAATTGGGAAAGTACCTCTTTGTAAAAAAAAAAAAAATTTAACTTTACTTTGTCCTTTCTCTTTACCACTTACATCACTTTGTAAATTGGGACACTATCTCTTTGTGAATGCGATGAAGAAAATGCCCAATTGACCCAGGTAGTCATGATTTTATATCAAACTAGAGATTTGGTACTATAGGTGCAATATCATTCAGTATAATCAACTATTACTTTATTAAAGAGAAGGAAAAATTTAATGAAAGACTTCAGATTATGACAGATACAGATTTATCAAAAAAATTATGGCAGAATATCAATGTATCGTGGAAAATTATTCATCCATGATGGATACAAATACTATAGAAATGCAAGACGTTCTCATAAAGTCAAAACCAGTGAAGAATTATTCTTTAGAACCTGTTAAATTTATTATCTGAATGGAGGAGTGTCTTTACTTGGTTTCATTTTTTCCAGGTTAAGGCAAATCCATCAGGTGCAATGAATTCACTTCTCTTTATGTGTAAAGCCATTGCAAGTTGGCATGTAAGCTTTCTATTTTCTGCTGTATTTCAATAGTGGAGGGAAATAAGAAATTCGGAGAACCTTTATGGTTGTGATCCTTTTCAGGAGATAAGAAGCGAAGATTTACACAAAGAAATCTGTCTGGTTCTGCAAGGATATAAGCAAGTAAGCACTGCTTGATATAATACTCCCTCCATCCCAATTTATGTGAAGGTGTTTGACTAGGCATGAAGTTTAAGAAATAAAGGAAGACTTTTGAAACTTATGTTCTAAAACAAATCGTAGATATTTGTGTGGCTAGAAATCATCTCATTAAGGGTAAAAAGGAAAATTTAAAGTTGAATTGTTACTAAATATAGGAAGCTGTCATTCTTTTTGGAACTGACTAAAAATGAAAGAAGTCACATAAATTGGGACAGAGGGAGTATTTTTTTGAGGCATAATACCTAACTACCCTCCTGAGCTTGAAATTATTTATTGGTGCGCAGTGCATAGGACAAAAATAGTTCAGGTGTGCACCCAATAAACGGTGCCAAGTTCGGGTTATATTGATGCATTAAGCTCTTTTCTTTTTTTATCTGCCAGAAGGGTGTCTTTTCATGATGTCTTTATCGTTTACTCGCTAATTTGTGAGTAGATCTTTGAGGGTTTTCCTGACCAATTTGCTTCTGGGATACCACTAGTTTAACATCGGCTCTGATGAAATTATCTTTCTGTTTCCTTAATGAATTCTTTTGTTGTTTCATCTGGAGATGAACCTGGTGAATAAATAGGGAAAAAGAAGAAAAGTATTTCATTTTTCTCATGAGCTCTCACTGGTATATTATCTGGAGGTATAAGATGTCTAGTGCATTATTCTGAGGTTGGAAATATTTTGCCAGATGCTCAAGGATGGTGCTTGGGAACAGTTTATGTCAGCTTTGGAGCCCTCAGTGAAGGACAAGTTGTTAAAGTATCAAGTTTAATTTCTTATTGACAGAGAATGTCTTCCAAGTTCCAATGCTTGTTGTCATGGCTATTTTATACTTCAGATCTCTGGATCTATTGGCTTCGTGTTCGTTTGAGTCTTAGCATTATCTGATTGTTGTTGAGCCGTGCATGTTGGGCAAGCACAAAGTTTTGGGTTCAATTTCCTCCATGGAACATTCTCATTGAAGATTGAAGCTATTCATATTCTTTCGAAGCTTCAGTTGCTCTGGTTTTGGACACAGCAGTTATCTCGGAAGCTGAGGTTCAACATATTAAGTGTACAGGTGTGCTTTGTTACAATTGTATTTTATTTTGTGCCTGTCCTGAATCTATTGAAGGAGGTGATCCTAAGTTCTTGGGTAATTGGGTTTGATAATTTCTTCTCGGGTTAAGGAGCAATTTTTCTTATTTTTAACTTTACATAAGGTTCCATTTGTTGGTTTAAGTCCACATAGCATGTCTGAGAATTTGTTTGTTCACCTTTTCTTCTGGAGGATAGGACTAGATGGTCTGTTGGGAGGTCGAATGAGGTAAGCAATAATAATTACAGTTTATTGGTGGGGGTTTACATATACGTACCTTTGAAAGGAATTATTGTAACATTTTTTTATCCCGCGATAGTATCTCCAATTCCCCGTCTATAGAAAATATGAAAAGTATTTGATAGTTATGATTCGAACGAAAATGCCAAAGTGACATTGTATTCGAAGATGCTTTATTGAAGATTCTGAGTGTAAATGTGCAATTGGATTTTGATAAGAACTGCTGCATTGGTTTTAATGTCTGCATGTGCTGCTGAACTCTATCTCCTTCTCCCCCCCCCC